CCCCGGACTGCCTGCCCAAGGGGGACTCGGCTCCCAGGCGGGGAAGAGGGCTGGTTTGGGTTCCCTGAGCACCTGAGACCTGGACGGGACTGAGCGTGGTTGCACAAGCTGTTGGGTCTCTTACTAGCTGCATCTGCCAGCCAGGACAGTCAGCAAGCAGCGATGTGCCTCACAGAGCCTGCCTGGGGCTCGCTGAGGAGGCACATGGGTTTGGGAGGGTCGGAGAGAAAGAGAAGCATTTTAGGGGAGCAGGTAGACAATCAGGCACAGCTCTGGGGGAAGATGGGAACATGGAGTCAGACAGCTTCCCTGCTGGGGTAAGGTTGTCTGGAGATGGCGCTTGTAGGCTTTCCACCTTTCCGTACCCTCTAGCTGTGCTGTTGTCTCAGCCACATCATCTCAATGAGGAGGAACCTTGAAAGGACTGTTTGTTACTTATGGGAGGTCTTGGCTAGCACTGGGTTTTCTCGTGCTTATCCTTGACTTACAGGGCCACAGCTCTTTAGGCCTCTCTGAACACTCTGCTATCCCTCTGGGCATCAGTGGTTTTCTTATCTGACTTCCACAGCCTGCTCTGGGAACACCTCTGCAGTTCTGCCCTTTTTGCTAGGGGACTCATTCTGAGCCTGAGACATCAAATGGCTTTCACAATCAAGAGTATGCCTCACATATGCACCAGACCGTCCTCCAGAAGAAATGGTGAAAGGGATGGTGGGACATAAATGAAGAGCCTTCTGCTCAGCTCTTTCTGCCTTAACAGCAGCAGCAGCAATAGCCAGAGGAGAGTGAGCGTTGCTGGACGGGGGGAAAGCCAGTGATTCTGGTCGCAACGCAGCTCCCCGATTCCAAATACCAAGCTCCCTTTCTTCCTCGCAGCTTTCTCTGCCTTTGGTGCTGCTGCTGTCTAGATGACGATGTCTGCTCTGACTGGTCACCAAAACTGTAGCGGGAGAGAAAGCAGCTCTCTGGACCGGTTGGCTCTAGCACCCCTGCTGTTGGTCTGCATAGAAATGACATGCATTCTTTAAATCAGAAATATATCCTCTGGAAACAAGGTCTGCTACACCTGAACAAACGATAGGTGAAGAGAAGTGTCTCAGCTGTGTCAGTAAGACTCTGCCTGGAAACAGTGAGTTCCTTCTGTAGAAAGTGACCCTCTCAAACCATACCTGACTCAAAATCACTGCACTGGCAAAGCTGGTGGTTGGGAGCATGACTGGTTTGAGCACTAACACTGCATAGGATCTTGGAAACATTGCAACATTGCATTTATTGGCTCTGCCTTCTCCAGGGCAGGTGTTCTCAAATGCTTCTCTTCTCAAGAGACTCTGAAGAAGCATTTTTATGCCCTGCCATCCCTTAGCACATAGTACATTCATGTGATACAGCATCATACTCACGTAATTCATGCAAAAAGCTCTTTCTCACAGCACTTCTCCGGAGCTTGCTTTCCCTGGCTAGAAAGAAGGTTGGATGTTTTACTTTTGAATCCTTGCACAAGACTCAGCTTTCATGGCCTCGAGGCAAGTTTTCTTTCTTTTTTTTTTTTAAATCAACAGGTATCTAGATCTAATCTACGTAAAAAAAGATTGCTTTGGAGTTTCTGGACAAGATCTGGTTTGTCTTATTGCTGCTAGGCAGCGAAGACAAAATTTGTTATGCTGAGAGGACTTTCCGGACAGGTGGAAGGAAGAACCTGAAAGCTGAAGGACCACTCCTACTACCCATGGCTCTGACACACTTTTGGAGATGGTACCTTGAAGTGTTCAGGAGTCCTCTGCACCTTCTGCGCAGTTCTCTACAAGTCAGCTGCGAAGAGAAGAAAGGGGGCAACTTTCCTGTCCGTGCAGCCAATAATTCTCCTGCCTCTAGACTAAGTAGGAAGACTAAGCTTATCAGGGAATTTAACCTTGCCAGCAGTCGTTTAGAGAGCCTGGTCAGAGGATATAGTGGCTGGGGACAGAAAAAGACTCTCTGGGGATTCCTGGGTGATTCCAGTGATAAACACAGGCTGTTTTTAAAGTAACCTTCGATGCAAGAAGGAATAATGTGGAGCATGAATGCACTTGGCTGTGGGTGGCTGTCCACTGTGGACTGAAAGACATAAGGGGAACAGGTTTCTGGGAGTGGGCTAGGCCTGCAAGACATTGTGTTTCTGGGAGAGCAGTAAAGGTGAGATGCTCAGAGAGCCACTAAACTGGCACTGATGCACCAACAGAAAAGTACAGGATTTCCCTGTAAAGCCCAGCTGCCGGGAAGCTGCTGCCTACCTCCCGAGGAGAGTCCCAGCATGGTCACAATGGAGAAAAGGTAAGAAATTCGGGGAATTTTGTAAGGAATTTCCTATCTCTGTAGCTGCGGTCAGGTGAGATGGCAACAGATAAAGTCAGACACTTCTGATGGTTTCTGTTGTGGATACGAAGAGATAGCATGAATTAGAATATTTTCCAGAAGGGAAAGTCCTTCCTTTTTCCAGGCAATAATGAGTCTTGTACCATTTCTGGTAACTCTAGAAGCTTGCTGCACTAGTTAACCTATATATAAAGCCTGAAATAAGCATCCCATTTGGGGATCTGACCAGGGAAGGAAAAGGGAGATAATACCTGTGTGTTTTCAGTCGTCTTTACAGTTTTGTTTAATTTAATTTCAACGGATGCATTTGATATGAATAGAGAACAGAACAAACTACCTTAGGCTCATGACAAGCCCTCCTGGGAGGGCAGTTCAATGAGCCAATCAAACATAATTTAAGCATAAGTCTACAGTCAAAGCCTATGGAGAACTCGGAGCTATCGATCAGAAGATGGCTTAGGTCATCCAGCCACGAATGGAGTTGATACCAAGCAGCAGCACTTTATGTCCTGCTAACAAAGGCTCCAGATAACATTAAATATGTGTAAATGAGGGTAGGATTTAGTCTGCAATGACACAGAGTAACTAGAATACGACTTTCAAAGAAAAGTCTTGAGTAGCAATGGTTTAAAGTTATTTTTCTTAATAAAAATACCTCTCTGATACTTTCATGTCACTCATTTGATCCCAGCTGGGAATTTACATTCTGCAATGTCTGAGACTTTTTCCATGATTCTTCTCTGCTTTCTTTACAAGAAGAAACAACCATTCTGAGGATTGCTAAGAGAACCTCCAATGCACGGCGCACGGCTTTATTTATCTACGTGTGATCAATCAGTTCATATCCAGATGATACTGTGTGGTAAAGAAAGACCTAAGGAGTTTGTCTTAATGGCAGGAGCAAGAAAACTTTTTGTAGGGTACAGTGCAAAAAATTGCTGCTCATGAAAGGCAAAGAGGGGAACGGCAAAACCACTTCCATAGACCCAGCTGATTGGATAATTTTAGGGATCACCTAGATAAACTTAAATCCTGAAACAATATAAACATACTGTTTTAAACATTTTTTTAAGAACAGAAAAATAATACTGTGGTCACCTCTCAAATAATAAATAAATGAAGACAGTGGTTTGGGGACTGAAGATGCTAGAATGACATAAAAGGCTGTGTATTGTGATATGATATGATTATGATAATTCCAGCCCAAACTCTGACTGAAGGAGAGTCAAAACTGTCTCTGGCATGGGTGACGAATAAGCTTATAGCAGAGGCTTACAACAGAAGATTCTATTATTATTAGCAATAGCAACAATAATCATTTGAAGAGCACCTTGATGTGTGTGAAGTGCCTCTCAGGACAGATAAAAGAGCAGTTATTCCTAGGCAGCACTGATGAACTTTAAGCTGTAATAATGTGTGAACAAGTTGGTTTCCAGGGATGAAAGCAAAGAGGAATAGTAGCAGTCAGATGATGGAGTTTCTGGTGGTGAATGAAGAAGAGAAGAGATTCGTTTTAGGAAAAAAGAATCCATCATCTTTTAGCTGGTGAGGGAAGTCCTTCCGGAAGGAAATGGAGATATTTTCTGTGGAGTAAAATGGGAGTTGCAGGAATAAGAAGCAACAGAGAAGGTAATCTAAAAATGCCTGGGGGAAACAGACAAACAGGACCCTGACAGAGTGAGGAAGAGCACAGCAATAAAAGCCCATCCAATACCGTTGACTTGAACACACTTCAAGACACATCCTTGGATACAAGACTGCACTTGTAAGGGAAAACACGCATGTATATCAATGAAGTACAAGTCATAACAACAACAAACAGGGAGCATTTCCTAGAAAGACTGGATTTTTTCACAGAAAAATAAACATGAAGCAGTTATGTTATATGGGAACTATGGGTTGGGGAGCTTCCCAGAAAGCCAGCTGCCCCTGTTCCTAATTATTTATTATTCATCTCTTTTTCAGTCCAAAATGAGGGTTGATTTATGGGAAATGACTTAGAAAATGAAACATGGAAATGCAGGATGGATGATGATTAATGGAAGCTATGATATGTGCCTGCAAACATGCAAAGGGCATAAACATCCAGGAGGAGAAGGTCGAAGTGGGGTGACGCTACTGGGTTTTCATATAAGTGAAAGCCATGTTTCCTGATGGTGAGGACATCAGAACATGGAGTAAGCTTTGAAAAGAAAGCTATCAGAAATGGTGGAAGACTTTTCCTCACTTCTGCCCTAAAGAGTTCACTACAGGAAAGCCTTTTGTTTCGGATCTTAGTGAAGGGTCAAGTTGACTTTACCTACTACAACTTTATGCTTCATTTTGCAGGTATGATGGGATCTTAATTCTCCCTTTTTTGTTGCCTTGATAAGATACTGATGCAAAGCAACAGGGTTCTGGTTTTCAGTATAAACAATCAAAAGTGTTTGAGAGAAGATATTTAAATCTTGGATTTTTAACAATATCACTTGATAATATAAATGACTTCTGGATGGAGAAGCACAAATTCCATTATGCTCAGTATCAGAAGTAAGGCTCTTCTAGTCTTAAGGCACAGTTATTTAAGCGTATTAACGCTCACAAATGACAGGACTATCTTTTGAGACATCAAGAGTTTGCACAAATCACCTAAGCAAACATGCCACATGATGGGACAGTGCAGCAGTAATGACCAAGTTGTTAGGAACGATTTACATATAGTTCATCCTTGCCTGAAGCAATGGAATGAACTAGATGACTTTCTGAGGTTCCCTGAAACCAAAGTTTCTATGGCTTGAAGATGAAAATGACCACTACGACATAATGACTTTCACTGTCTACTCTCCTGTAAGTGGTAGGTCATCTCGAGCACTGTCCCATAAATACTAAATTTAACTCTGCTCAGCTTTAACTTTGCATGGGCTTGGTTATTTTCTTGTAAATCATACTTTTCTATTGTGAGCCAAAATTATATTCTTGTTGCAGGCACAATATTTCCATTTCATGTACAAACTTAACACTATGAAGCACACAGACTCTTTGCCACACCAGCAGACTCTTCTCTTTACCTGTTCAGAGTGGAGATGCTACTAGGGAAGAGATGGCAGGCCTTTTGAGCGCATTAAATGGTCTGTAAGGGCCTGTGGCTATCCTAGATCCTCCCATGCTGACAGCACTGGGGGCTCTGACTCTCAGATTAAGGGCAGTATATGGCCTAGAGTATCTATCAAGAGTGATGTCAGTTAATTACTACCCTGGGGATTCAGCAATGAGTTGGTGCACTGTGAGTTAATGACTTCCAGGCATGATACTTGGCAATGCTACCGTTATTATTTCTGCAAAGAGACTTCAGTGTCTCTCAGTGAAGCCAACCAACCAGAACGTTGTTGATATGCTGTTTGCTTGCCTGTTGCACAAGATACTGGTGAAACTCTCACTACCTATTTGTTGACCTTTCTTTCCCTTCATTCTCTTTCTACCAGTATACATCGATATGTCATTGTCTCCAAAGGAGACTTCACTCTTTAGCAAACAACATCAAGAATAATGCCACATCCCTTTCCAAATTACAATTCAGCCTTCTAAAGATGGGTGTTGACATGACATTGGTGAATTCAGACACAGCTTTGAGATTTCTCAAAGGGTTTGAGGATTTCCATTGTCAGACGGGGCTATTGTGCTATGAAAATGACTCCCAGCTGAAAGAGTGAGAAAATATTTTAAAGGACAGCTCAACAGTATTAGAAAAAGCTGGATACCCTGGCACCCTGGAGGAAAAGCTGCTAACATAGTTAGTGAGATGGGGTGGGACAACATTTGAGTGTCACAATAATTTCATTGCATAATCTTTGTCCCGCTTACCCCCAGCTCTCACCAAAGACAATGGAAGCATGGGGTGTTCAGTTCCTTGCAGGAGACACTCAGTCTTGCATCATTAAGTCCTTTTTATTTTTTCTACAAGGTTATAAAAGACAGAAATGCATTCTTGACTGCAAACTAACACTGAAAGTCTCACGAGAATAGATACCGCTCCCTTTGCCATAAAACTTTGGAGAGGACTCAGTATGACCGTGATGAATCTCATGGAAAAGCAAGCCCAAATAAACACCACTTGAATGAATAGAAAATGCGGTCATCCCATCAACAGACGAGCTGGGTTAATCCTTGCCTCTGCAGCCCCTGCATCGTTCTGCGTTACCTTTCACACCGTGTCAGATACAGCTGGCTAACGAAGCTGCCACACTGGACCTTCAAGCTCCTTACCATTTTACAGATGGACTTGGCCTCCTCAGAAAACTTATGGGAGTACACTTCTTCCGTCTCCAGCACTCTCCTGTCCACTTCTTCCCTCTTCACTTTCTCTTTCCTTCCACGAAATGGTGATTGCCCAGCAATCATTTCATAAATGAGACAGCCTAGCCCCCAGTAGTCAGGGCTGAGCGTGTATCTCTGGTTGTTCAACACTTCTGGGGCTGTGGAGGAGAAAGATGTGTCTTGTGAAAATGCTTGACATCTATATAGGCGAAAAATTAAAATTTCTAACAATCCCATTTTGGTAACTGAAAACGCACACACACACACAGAATGGTGGATAAAAACATAAAAACACCTCCTGATTTCTGTTGACTAAATTACAGAAAATGCAGCATGCTACATGCCATGTTCACATACGAATTCAGACCAGTTAAAAAAATAAAAACCAAAAAGAAGTTGAAACTAAGTTTTAAGGAGGGGGCCAATCTTAAAGAGTCCTTCCAGATTTCTCCATTTAGAAAAGAAATGACATACAAACATACATCCTGTAAACAACAGTGACAGTTCTCCAAAAGCAAATTCTGTCTTTTCAGTGAATTCATAACTTTTTTTCTCTTTAAAAGCAAACCCATTTGTCCTGTCTTGCAAACATCTTTATGCCTTGAGCATACAGTCACTTTCTTGCAGGCCTGCTCACCCTCCATACATGGGTGCAAACACACACATACACACACGCGCACACACAGGCACGGAGCGTGCACGCAGACTTACACTGAGATAACCAAGTTTACAAATGACAACTGATCTGCTTGCTTGCATTAAAGTCTCCACACGGCATAACAGTGGCTCCCATCAGTTAGTTTCTATTTAGTGTATTTGTATGTATGCATTAATCAAATAAGTATATTAAGTGTCTTTATTCCAAGAAAAATGTCCACACAGAGAAGGCATGGAAATAAATACACTGAGTTTAGAAAACAGATTTAGTTAAATAAGGGAATGTTTTGTTTTACCAACATACACATCTCTGCTTGTCCCTATGTCCAAACAGCAAAATATAGGTGTGGACTTACCCACTTTATGATAAACATACGAATACATAGGCATGGTATATTACCTTTTAAATAATATACAAAGTAGCAACTAGAAAGAGATCTCTTCTTTTATGCTCACAATCCTCCTAAAATAAATCCATGTTACAGTAACTAGAAAGCCAACTGTTATTTCCTCTAGTAATTTTCTTTGCTAATTTAGAATTACAGACCAGTTCCACAGAGTTTTCTGCCAGTCTCATTAAGAGCTGCTGTGGTCCATCCGTTCCCCCACTTCTGATTTCCACTCGTGTGATTACTTGGTGGGCTGCCTCAGGGAACTGAACTAGCTGAATGTAAATCTTTTTTATTCTTTTTTTTTTTTTAAAGCCTACATGGCAGAAATATCTCTGAAGTCCAAGTAATCTCAATAAATTATCAAAAAGATGAGCTACTGAGGACTTACCCATATACCCTACTGTTCCTACCCTTCCACGGATTGATTCACCCTCAGGAATTTTAACAGCTAGACCCAAATCAGATATTCTAATATGACCTGGAAGGGAAAAAAGAAGCAAAACAACACAAAGCAGATATTATGACTCCAAAATAGCCAAAAAACATAGCTGTTATCACCATTGCTCTACTCTTGCAATTGACTGTTCTGACATTTTAAGGAACAGGTGTTCCACATCACAACAGTTTAATTGATAAGGAAAAGACAAATTATTAAGGATGTTATAATGCAGTGAAATTAATTGTAACAGTGAGGCTGAGGACTACGGTGGATTACGTTAGATATTTTAAAACAAACTGAAAAAGGCAATGAGGAGCACGCTGTAGGGAAGTATCTTGAACTGATCACAGCGGATGGATGGGCTGACCTAATTCTGTAACCCTATGATAGCTTAAGGGGCTACATCTGGTCTATAACGCAGCATGAGATTTGATTATTGCTGCCTCCAGCAACAAATGGGTACCTGGGTTTGCATAAAATGAGAGTTGGCTCAGCAAAGGCTGAAAGCACTTTTGCCAACGGAGCGGGGCGCATAGATTTAGAAATCGCCACTTCCTTTGTGTTGTGTCAGCCTTGTAACACTAAGGATGGAAAAACAATGGAGAAAAAGCAGACACTACTAGCTAAGTTGCTGTCTCAACACCCTGCAGGGCAGCACGGCTGCTTTGTTCCACCCCTGCAGCAAGTTCTAGCACTTTATCTGTCCCACAACACAAGTATTAGTGTATGCTGAGCCTCTTATTCACTTCAGAGCATTATTTGCCTTTGTGCAGTCTGTACCCTAAAACTAACTTAAGCTACTTTGCCGTGAAAGAATCTCTGTAAACCTCTCAGACTTACCATAATCATCTAGTAGGATATTTTCTGGCTTCAAATCTCTGAAAATGAAAAATAGTAGTTATTTGTATGAAGCTGGTTTTGATAATATAAGCATAGGACGGTGTGTGAGCGCATTTATTACCAGTATTAAACCAACTGGGTGTCAACTCACACAATAAGGAACTCATGAAACCAATACAACTTTCTACAACTCACTTCACAGATAGACTGAAACCACATGTCTTTTTCTAAACAGAAGTTACATTTTTTCACCAAGCCAAGCTTTTACTTCATAATCCACTCTGTAATGGACTCACCCATCTAATCAGGAAACCCTACAAATGAAGCCTTGTAATCCTGTGTGTTGTTAAAGCGCGATAACATTTCCCATTATAAAATCATTTATTAAAAGAAAAACATTAAAAATTTTAAACTTTTTTCGCATATAAAAATGGAAATAGTAATCAGTTAGGCTCAAATTTTCTACGGCTGGTATCTAACTCAGGCCAAATATGCAAAAGTGTGTGTATGCACGTATGCACATGTATAATAGTTTCAGCAAAAATGGTTCAGCTAGCTTGGAAAGTAAGACGGAGGGGCAAAGAGGGGAATGCTTTGCCCGGACTGAAATTTTTCTTACAAGCGTTTGTGAAATTCTAGTGCCTCTGTGGTTTGGAGCAACGCCATGAAAATTGGCAAGGTGGTCACTGATGTCAGAGATGTGCCTTTAACTGTGCCCATGAAAAAAAATTCCCAAATCTGGCCAAGTTATAAACTTCTGAAAAATCTCAGTTTTCATATATTTAGCAGAGCCTTGGCAGGTCATTCTTCTAAAGAATTTGTCTGCACCAAACCTGCTCCACCACCAGGTACTGCTTCTGGGATGCTGACCAGCCAGCCACGCTCCATCCCCTCGCTTGACTAAGGCCACGCTTTCCGAACCTGCAGAGCTGAGCCCAACTTCACAGCTGTGCTGCTGTTCCTGGCTGTACTGGGCTACTGGCAAACGAAGAACCAGCGCGCCTTCTTTTAACGCTCCCCTTGCAAATGTCCAGGCATAACAGAGGAGAGGCACGGCCTGACTTTAATGCAGAAGGGGAAAGAAACCAGACTGGGAGATCGGACCAGGAAGTGTGAGAGCAAAGACTGGGACTTGCTCGGTAGAGAGAGCACGAGAAAGACCGTGTGACAGGGAGCAGCAGAGAGGGAGCAGGCTGTGGCTGGCTGGCGAGCCTAAAAAAGGGACTAACTGGGCTGCGGAAGGCAGGGAAAACCATATTGCTACAACTGACAACATTCTGTCCTGACTTTTCTCCGACTGACTCCTACTGAAACGCAGCGTTTAGCCTGGTGCAAATCCAAGAAGTGTTTGGCCTCATCTTTTTTAAGGCCTCCTTGCATGTGTGAACCAGCTTGATTCTGTTAGCTTCCCAGCAAAACACATTTCTTTTCAAAGAGCAACGGGGGACTGTACCAGAGAAACCCTCGCAACAGGAGAGCTGAGCGTTGCATAGAGTCTGTGCAAGACTTTGCCCTGTGTTTCAAACTGTACTACTTCAGTGCCTTAAATTTTCCTGTGAACTGAATTTCCCTGTGAATGGAGAGGGATATTTTACAGTTTTGACAAGGCTGAGTGAAATTTCAAAACCTATCTTGTTCTTATTTATTATTTGTACCAAGAACACAGAGCACTGTGAACAATCTCCTCTTCTTACTTGCCTCAGACCTTCTTGACCTCCCAAGATAAACTTCACTGAGTGCCTGGTGGTACCAAGTCTACTTTTCAAATAAACAGTTTTGAAATATGTGAAGGGCAGCTGAATGCTGAGGAGAATCTGTGAATTAGTTTAACATACTACTGTCGGCTTTCCCTCCATATCAGCAGAAACCTTCCAACACTGGAGCAACATGGTCTAGGACACTTCCGACATATTTTTTTAAATTTGTTCTGAATCTCTTAGGAACTATTTTCCTTGAAGAAGTATCAGACTTCATTAGTTACTTTATCTTCCACTCCAGCACTTATTAGTCCCATTTAAAGCTGTAACTATGGCTAAATGAAAAGGGTTTTGCATGCCAGTTCAAAAATGATGTGTTCTTTGAGTAAGAAAAGAGGTTCCATGAGGACTCTGAGAACAGCAGTTTAGTCCTTACAGTCCCTTGTGATTTGGGGCAATTAAGGCAATCTTTCTGCCCCTCTTGATCTCAGCTGTCTTTTCTGTTTTCAGTTTTCCAGCTCCTCTAAATCAAGGACCACTTCTTTTTCATGGCTAAAACTTGAAAGTTTCAAGGAGGAATGTGATTTTTATACTGAAATATCTGGGAGAAGTAAAACCCCTCTGTGGATACAGTTACATATAAGGATACTTCCATATTGTATAGCTTATTCCTCTTCCCATATGTAAATTAGCCATGCCTAAACATACCAAAACATATTTATACTGCTGGTACTGCATCCATGCTAGAAGGGCTATGCTACATTTTACCAATATACATAAACAATACAATGCACCACGGCAGATAAGGCTTTACTATATACCTGTGTAATGCCTAGGACAATGTGATCCTGATGCTGACTGGATCTTCCAGGCACTCCTATATATATATATGTATGTATGTATGTATGCATTCACTATATATAAATAACCCATATCCATATCCACATATATATACATACACACATATATATAAATAAATAATTCAAGGAGGACCAGAACCTTTTTATGTTTGCTTTCCATGAACAATTGACCCACTGACCTTTACTAGCATGCTGCAGTTAAGAAGTGTAATGTAAGCTCCATGTTTGACAAAGGAATTCTGAATTATATATCTGACTCTGATCCTGAAAGCTGGCCTGCTTGTTATCTCGGGTCATGTAAGTAGTGTTTCACTGTTCTGCGATGTATTTTGGAATGCTGTGATTTACTCACAAGCATTCTGTTTGTAGAAAATGAAATTAAGTCTGAGGAATAAGTGTTTTGCTATAAATTATTCACCTTGATAAAGCTGTAGCATTTAGTTGCTATATTTTGTTGACCTATATAGCACTTGCACAGGTCCCAAACACTTTGCAATATTACAAATTAGGGGTCTCTGCAGATGCTCCTAAAACACTACTAGAAAATGTCACCTACACAGATATAATGTCATTCTTCATCAAAATAAATGTGCCATCTGAGGGGCAAACTAGCAGCCCTTATAAGAATAGCATGAAACAACTGCTTAAGGAAGCAGGATGCCATTTCCCTCAGAGCCCCAGCCTATTTTAGGTGGCCAGATCTAATTCATTTATTAGAAAGTGGCATTAGTATGGCATTTTAACAGTCATGCTATGAATGTACCTGTCATTTTCATCAATTAAAGTATGCTTGTGTTTTACATGTTCCAACATTTTGTACCGTAGCACCTCCTAAGGCTTCTCTGAACGTGGCAGGATGATTTTGAAGGATAGGGGAAGTCAGACACCTAACTCACTCAATATCTGATTTTACAATTGACTAATTAAACATCTAATTCTATATCATTCCTTGGAAAAATCTTTTGAGCCTGTGCTGACTAAACCAACATATTATCTATTTAGGCCCTCCTTATGACAACTAGCACCAGTTTGTTATAGGATTATAGGACTGCTCCAAGGAACAACAGTATGATCATTTCTACATATACAAGCATATACGTAACGTTTATTGCAGGCATGTGAATGATTTAATGTGTGATTTAATTTTTTAAGAAAGCGTATTATCATCTATTAATCATTGTTCTTGGATTTTCCTCCATCAATTTACAGGACCTCTTCTGCTGTGAAAGCCAGCAATAATGATTTCACAAGACAGGATTGTAAAGTAAAAAATTAAATGCTGTTTGCAACTACAGTAGAGTTTAATTAAAAAATAGAATAAAAATTCACATGGAGCCACAAGAACTCTCTCCGGAATCAGCCTGCTTATCCCGCAAATAAACCCTCAGGTGCCCTGCAAAGGTGCTTGCCTATAGCTGTAAGCCAGCCTGGAAGTCAAGAACTTGAAACCTGTGTTTCTCAGCCTGGATGCCTTTTATAGCGATGGGCTGTGCTCTGCCTGCTCGCTGCACACGTGGCCACAGCTATGAAGCAGCCAGCAGAACATTTCAGTTGTATGGCTATAAATGTGCCTCCATCCCTGTCTGCTATGTTATGGCCACCACTGCGATCCAATCTAGCTAATTAGACTAGAGTTTGCATGTCCTGGAACATAAATGCATGTCCTTTGTTTCAAATACCCTCTTGTTTTAATCTTTCTGCTGGAAGAAAGAGGAACAGATCCCTCACTGCCTGCAGGACACTGCTGTCCAGTTTCATTGCTCTGCTGCAAGTAAAGGGGAAAGACCCCGAGATCGTCTCATTTTGCAGAGGCTGAAAAAGGAAAGTCGGAGGCACTGAGGAGGGAAGCAGATTTGTTCCAGGTCCTGAAGCACCAGCTGTGCTCAGGCAGAGAGCATATTGCGCCAAAGAGGAAGGGCAGACTACAGTCTGGTTCCCACTCAGATGGAGCAAGGCTTGGCTGTCCTCTTGCCAAACCTATTTGGCTCTCGGCCTGAAGAGAAGATGGACCGTTTGTCCAGAGCTCTCTGGGCTTCAGACGTTACACCTGCTCTACCACAGGGCATGTGAGGGGCCAACTGAACCAATCAGACCAAAATTGCCATGGTTAACGGGCTGTGACCGCGCTGCCTGTGGATGTGGGTGGGAGGGAGCTCCTTTGGTGTCACACCGTGAAGAGCAGGCACACAGCACAGGGGCAAGGAGGTGCTCTGCCACTCGGCAAACCCACGCCCAGCTAACGTCTGTATTCTGCTCTCTCTGGGGTAGATGTTTTTTTCTATATCTGACCCGCTACAGCCCCTAATGCAATACACCGCTACTACTAATCTAACTACTTAAAATAGAGACTTGACTAGAATGAGCTCTGTTCTGTACCTACTAGGAACTAGGTTCCGTAATAAAACCCCTTTAAAGGAACTTTCATCATTTTCTTTTGTCATCCAGTACATGCTGGGATAGGATTTGTCTCTATATGATAGAGACAGGAGGTACTTAGCAAAGGAACTGCTTCCTTCCATCGTTACTGAATCATATACAGGCTCTGAGAAATCCCAGTGAAAGCACTAAGGCATCTAAACTGCCTTGCACTAAAATGAACACGCAGGAGAGATGCAGAAAATTCTTTTCCACCTGAAAAAGATGTCCTAAGAGTCTGGAAAACGCTTACCTGTATACAGTATTTTCTCTGTGTAGGTCTTCTAAGCCACAAAGAATCTCTGCCGCATAAAACAAAGCTCGTTCTTCCTCAAAGCCTGGGTTTCCCATATTGTAGATATGAAACTTCAAGTCACCCCCATTCATTATGGTCAGAACTAAACACAGTGCATCCTTTGTTTCGTAGGCATAGGCTAAATTGACCTAGAAAAACATTGGTGGCATAATTGTGACAGTTCAGTTATCTGCTAAGAGGAAATTGCTGACTTTTTCATTAAAAATTTTGACTTGCAAAGGAAGAATACATTGATAGGACAGTAGCCAAAGATAACTGCATTTGATGTGGGCCTTTTTACAATAGCAAACATACAATTAAAAATACAGCAAAATCAGATATTAGAATCTTATAGATTAATTTGTTGAATACAGCCTATTCATTATCAGACAGCATCAAGTTTAGTGCTCAGATAGCTCCACAGCAAACATACTAATTTTAGGCATACTTTTCCAGGGAAGAGAAATCTTAACAGCCAAGGGCATCACACCTCCAGCTGCACTATCCAGCTGTCAACAAGATTTCATTCAGTAGGTTCCCAGGAAGGCCCAGATAGATAGCCCAGTCCTGCACTGGTCAAACTGACCACTGCAGAGCATGAAGGTCTGTATCAGCCCTACAAGGCTGTGGTGGGTACTCCAGGAACGACCGGACAAAAGCCTTTTATGTAGGTGCCATTGTCTTTGCTTCTCCCAAAGGTAAGTAAACATGGTTAACTTTGTATGTGTTGTAGTCACAGTGTTTCCTAAAGTAAGTATAAAAAACACAACAGATGCAGAGATAACTACATTTTTTAATCTAAGGCAAGTTTTTAGAGACACTAGAATGAGCTGGCAGAACTCACAATAGCTAGAAAAACCCTAAGTCAAGCAGACCAGCTCCGTATCACTGGCTAGGTGCTTGTACCAGCCAGCGTCTTCTGATTTATTCCATCTGAATTTCCTTCAATCTCAACCTCCTTCTTTCTCACAGACATTGGGAGTTCAGGTAATCACTCTGGATAAATATAGCTCAGCCTGATGCAACCCTGATGCAAGTCAAGGTTGTAAAGAGCATTATGTTCCCGTGGTAAAAACAGGCGCCGTGTTTGGTGCATTTCTCTCAGACCACAGGCTAAAAGCGAGACTCAGCAAATGTGCGTGGAGAAGGGCTAAGGTGAAATGAGCAGGGAGTCAGCTTCTGGTGCCTTTTATGTAACAGGAAGTTGGAAGAGGCATCAGACTCAACAACAGACATTGTGCTCAGCAGGTGACCACAGCACTGATCTCTAGAGAATTCAATACTCACTACAAACTGACTATTGACTTTTTCTAAAATCTGCTTTTCATTTAGTGCCATGGATTCGCCTTTCCTCTTTTTTATTCTCTTCTTCTCTAATCTTTTGCAGGCATACATCTTCCCTGTTGCTCGGACTTGGCAAGCGCAGACCTGAGAATTAAAGAGAACAATTGCTTGGGTAAGTTAAAAGAAAACACTTTGTTGGGGTAGCACTTTTTACTGCTCACAATCTGATCTGATTTAGTCCTTTTAAGGTTAGGGGCAGTAGCGTAGTGACTATGGCAGGGGCATCTGGGGAACTGACTGCTGTTTCCAAACCTGCTGCGTAACACTGGGTTAATTATTTCACTTTCCTCCGCCTGCTTCCTATCCCACCTCCTTTTGTCTCTTTAGATTGTAATCTGCTCAGCAGAGCCCCCTCTGTGCCTCCTCTGCCTCGCTGCCTCGGCAGTGACCTCAAGCCATTAGTAAAGTACAAATAAGGGTGTGACCCTAATCCTGCAGCGACTGTAACAGTCAAATACAAAATAATTTTTGAAAGTGTCTTTTTGAGGTTACAGTGTCATAAGAGGTTAAGTGAAACTGTCGGCAATTAAGTGAAAAAGCAGCATCTGCCTCATCAGGCTACTGCAACCTGCAGAGCCTGGGAAGTAAGAAACATTCTTAACAGAAGCTTTCAAAATTACTCACCTCCCCAAAGCCACCTTTCCCCAGTACCCTGTACTGCCTAAATGTGTTTTTCGTTACTGGTTGCCTGGAAGAAAAAGAAATAAAAAAGACACACTACGTTTACTGCGCTCGCTGTGATTTATTTATTTCAGAGCATACTTTTGAAAAGCAAAATAGATAAATATTATATAATCACATTATTTCAAGGTAATCACATTATATAATATAATATATAATTCTGTAATTACATTACTTCAATACTATGTATGGCTTGAACTTTTCAATTCCAACATATTAAGCTGTAATAAAATACAACACATTAGTGAGTCATCAGTATAATTTCTGATAGAATCTTAGGACTAAAGAAGGTTCTGACTCTCCATTATATAGCTTTGGCCTTTGTTAAGCAAAGAGGAGGCCCAAGAACTTGCAACCACGTATTCATTCCGCAGATCATTTCATGATACACAGAAATCCTTTCAAGGGTGGTGCTGGGCAAATAAATACTTTATTATTTTGCTTGGTCCTCAAGCTGAGAAAAAGAGATCTAAGATTCAATCCACCGCACAAGTACTTCTGTTTTCTCGACCTTAAACAAAACAGGAAATTGATAGGAAACAAGCAAAAAACAATCCCTGGAACTGAAGGGGTGGATTTAGATTCCATTCACAGAACTGGTAAGAGCAGGAAGCAGGGCTCAAAGCTCTTCCGGCCCAACCTGAATTACCTGCCTCTGGGGAGACTACCATTGGGCAAAAGAAGAGGAAAAGCATCTCCTTCCTTTGGGCATGTGAAACAAATTCACTGGAACCATTTACCTGACAACGAAGCTTTTTCATTTGGTTTCATTAGTGAATTAACCACTGAGTCATTTTTTTTTCTTCTGGTGAGTTAACCACTGGCTATATTCTGTGCATCACATTCTAATTAAGGGCCAAATCACAGGCCAAATTAAGGGCTAAACAAGTCCCTCTCTCTTTATGAGAGCGGAGTGCCCTTCCTCATGGACTTTGTTTGGTCTCACTGTCCTAGAAGAGTATCTACAAACGAGAACCTGTCTCTCCTTGTGCAGCAGACAGCAACTTTGCTGGCAGCTCCTCGTGCAATGGAGCACGGGGCAGGCAGGGCTAACCTAGGGATGATAGAGACATTTAGGCATCTGCTCACTGCCTCGCTGACCCAGCACAGACATCTTCATGCGCCAGGTTTGGAGGATGCTATATGCCAGGTCTCAGGAAGATATGTGCTCCTGGCCTGTGTCAGGTGCCTGTGGACATCCTGGAGCAGGTAATGATGGAGGTGCCCATCAGGTGCAATGAGGATGTAGCCCTTCTGGCACAGGGCACACTCACCCGGCCTGCAGCCTCTTCTGCTCCAGGACCTTGGCGTGTAGGGCCGTTGACTGGCACAACAAATACCCAAGAAACGGCCTGGAGCAGGAGAGAGGCTGCAGCACTGACCTGCACGCACAAGAGATTTGGGCACTGGGCCAGGGGAGCAGGAGGCAGGAGCTAAATGAGTGAGCTTCATGCATAAAGCATGGCATCTCAGGGCCCTGCCATCTCCCCAGCTCTACCAGGAAGGCCAGCAAATTGACTTTTTGTTGGCTTCTAAAGTCATCTTGGAAAAGTTTCTGCATAACCATATGGGCTCAATCACTGTAACATCTTACAGGATTTCCACAAAATTCAGGTCTACCAAAAGTGCTCCAGCCCTAAATCTAACTTTTACAACATTTGTTATCATTAAAGTTTTATAATATGACAGAGAAAGGACTCTAGATTCTGAGATATCTCATTTTATATCCCCTGCTCTATCACCGAGGAATTCAAATTATATTAGCAGTCACTAATGAATATTCATAAGAACCTTATAATAGCTTTGTTTTACTTTTGGCAGGCAGCCAGCCAGCAGAGGGAGCACAATAACGTGGCTGTGCTAACAACATTGATGATGAGGTTGATGGCAATAAGGAATAAAGGATAAAGTGAATTGTTTCATTTATGTTCTTTTTAAAAAAAGAAAAGCAGGGGAAGAAAAATATGTAAAAGGTGAAAACTAAGAGAGGAAAAGATGCTATTTTCAGACTTCTAAAAAGACATTGCAAATACTATTAGGGTTAAAAGCAACAATTAGCAGTATTAACACATGCTCAGCAATGTCCCTGGAATTAATGAACTGTTTGAATCTTCTCTTGGAGCCAGCAAGCTGTCAGAAGGAGCTGTTGATCACTCCATGCTACTAATATCTCTTACTAATCCTAAAAACAGCTCTCTTAGCTTCTTAAGCTGTATGGGCACATCTGATAGCTTGTCGTGTTTGTTGGGGAACGGAAAAAAAAAATCCTCAAAGCATTTGAGAAAACTCCCTATCCTACATGTGAAAACAGATAGGAAATAGCCTGGCTAGAGATAAATCATCTGATGTTTTTTAATTGAAATGGAAGAGTAAATGCTGGATTCAGTAAAGATGGCATGTGGAGCATGTCTTGGCACGAAATGGCTGCTCCCCTCTCCCCACTGCTTCCCTTCCCTCTCATGCACCAGCTTTGTAGCTTTCCAGGGAGTTTAACTGGCACAGCTCCCTTGATCTCCGAGGCATTATGCTGATATACACCACTAAAGAATCTGGTCATAACTCATCTCCCATAATTAATTCCATTTGTGGAAACTGGGGCTTCTCTCAGCTCAAGGTCACTGTTACCCAGCAGTGCAAGGCTGCTGCAGCATTCACCACCAACAAAAAAAAAAGCAAAGGCCCCCTTCCTTGCAAATTAAGACCCCTAAGGATACCTTGTTATTAAGTGTGCTCATAAATGTCTAGTCAATAATATGGTGCGAAAACCTATATGCTGTGTTTTGGTCTGTTTACAGTGATGCTGATAATGGTGATAACTGGTCCAGATAAAAAGCCACCATATTCAGAGATTAGCTAAGCAGGAAGACTGAAATTGTTGAATGTATTTTAATCATATCTAATGTGCTGGTCATTAAGCGGCAGAACACTTGAGCTTTAGAAGCCAAAACAAGCTCCCTGGTGCTTTGGGATGGATTCCTGCTTTATTATTTACTTCCCTAGCAAGCAGCATCTGGTTCAGGCTGGCTTGGGCACACTGTTTGCAAATGCAAAAGCCAGAGACTGGACGGGTATCTTATATTTAGCATTATGGTTGCACAAGGGTATGTTATAAACAAGGGCAATGTGTTCGTCAAGCTGCTCCATGAACAGCTTGTTGTGACAGGGCCTACATTGAAATTGGCTGCAGAGGTTTGTCAAATCACAGAGGAGATTTGGATTCCCAATTTTTATCAACCGTCATGTCCTATTCACCTGTTGTGCTCAAGCACACTGTGCAAAGAAGGTGCCCAAGCTGCTTGCTGGAGCGTGTCACCTTCAGGAGAGAAGGGTCCTTCAGAGAGAAGGGAAAGGCTGGACAGCATTTGTGGGTGCAAGCACACACACAAGGGTGAAATGAATGTATCCTAGACACCAATCACAGCTGGAGACTTAGTTTATGGTTAAAGTGAGTCGAATGACAACCTAACCTTGACCTTTCTATATGGCATCTTTCTAAGGCTAAAGCTGTCACCCCTTCTTGAACCTTCTAACAGTGGGCATTTATAATCAAACGCTAAAATTAGAAAAGCTGTCCTGGAGCTTTCTGGGAGAGCTTGCGCCCAGTACAGCTCAGAGAAACCAAGAATGAGTCTTGATGGGCCTTTCTGAAGGGAGAACAGGGAAAAGATTGAGAGGACTGCTGCACAGAAAGGGCTGTAAATGGGCAGGCATTAGGATGAGACACCAGTAATGCTGAGAAAAGGCCAAACTCTGTCTTTGATTTAAAGGCAAAGGGAGCAAACCTACACTATCATCTCAGCTGTCAGATTGCAACTGTATTCTAGAAGCTTTGCATGGAAAGTGAAAATAAACCTTTTATTTTCGTTTTTAATTAAAAAAAAAAAGATAGCAGCACTTACCTTTCCAACCACTTCCACTGCAGAAACCTGTCGAAGTACATGCTGTTTAGGTATTCTTGGAATGGTTCCCCGCTGAGGTGGTCAAGGACAGATCTATCTCAGATGAAAAGGATATATAAGCATTTTATAGTCCTGAATTTGGAGCAAAAGACAAATGAAACAAGTGGAAAAAATCCAGACTGCTTGTAAAACAGAGTCATTTTACTTCTACTTTATTTTCTGCTTTATTTTCCTCGTGGTTTCAATCATTAAACATTATCTGGGAACAAAGCAATGTGCTTAGTTTATTTCATAACAGGAGACCTTATACAAGTGGCGTACTGGTCATGCTTGCTGAAAATTAATGAGGAGTCTCCCACTGGCCTCCATGGACTTTCACAGATGTTGTTAGCCACTAGAGAACTAATATCTTAGTGTCTTTTAGTAAATTAAGACTGGCTCAACCCAGCTCTCTCAGGAACTGAGCTCCTCAACTTTGGAGAATGTTTACATCTGGATCCAAAATTTCTGTCTGGAGCCCATTTCCATCAAAAAGGGACCATCAGAGGTGTTGTTTTGAGAAGGAAAAAAAAACCCCTCAGTTCCTGCTTTACAGGAGAAATAATAACTGTGATTAATGTCAAAGAGCTTTTCCTGACAGCTGTGTGCCTTGTAGAATAAAACAAAGGAAAGAAAGTCAGAGCAGGGCTGTTGATTTGTGTCTGCACCAAGAAGAGAATTTGGGGCATCACACAGTGGATGCAAATTCTTAGTGGAAAGGCCCATCTGCAAATGTGAAAAATAAAATATGTTGCCTGTGACAGGCCACAAGCAGCCAGAGACAGCGGGAACTCTTGTAAGGAAGGCTGAGGGCTCAGAGCTGAGAAAAGGGAGGTTGAGCTGGGAGAGCTGCTGGCCAGTGCTGCCTGAGACGAAGGTGGGCATGTCGCTTACCAGTGGGTGGCTGACCTGCTCATTCTGGTTCTTGCCTGGCTTAGTGGGACGACTGCCTCTGCTGGCAGCACGGCCGGGGGCAAAGCTTGGTTTCAGATGAAAAATGCCCACAGCGAGCAATGAGTATTTCTCTCTCAGCTTCAAGGGTCAGGCAGAACTGGATCAAAGTGACTTAATGGAGGTGGTGCACAGCCTCGATCTGCCACCTACAGCCTCTCTGGCAGCTCCCTGGTTCCTGACTGACTGGTTTACTGGGGCTACCATTTTTTACAGCTAGCCATTAAAGCAAAATCTATTAGATGCTTTGCATCCAAACGCAAGATCACACATCAGAGACAGAAAATTATATTTAGAAAAATTCGGCTATATATAGACATCTTTCCAGATTTTTCTGGAGGAGAAAATTCTCTGCAGAACTATTCTGGTTTGGGAAAGGACAAACTATGTCTCATCCTGGTACGGTTCTAGAACTGAGCAAACAATTCACAACGGATAATGTGTCTCCTCAGTTTAGTTGTGCTCCATCCTTGAACTACAGTTCCTAAGTTTCTGGAAACTCTCAGCTGTTTTAATTAATTTGTTAATAATTCTTGATCCACAGATTTGGAACAAGCAGGTAACTGCAAGAAGTCAGTATTTGGAAGTCAAACTGCTGTTGTCTTCATTAGGTTTGACTGGACACAGATCACCCAGTGTAAATCTTACGGAGAAGAAATATTTTCCCTAAGTGGATTCAAGTTTACAAAAGAAAAAAATTAACGTTGATGAGCTTTAAAAAAATGTCCAAATGCAGCCCCAAAACTATAGGGAAAATTAGTGTGTGTCAGGGGGAGATAGGGGAAGACAGTTTAAATTTTGAAGGTCAAAGCAGAAGCACACGTACATTTACACATACATTTATCCTGCAGATTGATCTTATTTATGAGGACTTGTCTGAAACTCATCCCTGTTCCTGCTCCTACAGGATGGCAAGTTTCATATTTGCATGTATGCTTCCCGTTTTTGGTTTGACTGTGAACACTTCCAAAATTAACATTATCCAATACATTTAGTAAACAGCAACAGCAAAGTCTTTAAAACTTCCTTTTGACCCCGCTTCAGTCCATGTGAAATGATCAGCATATTTATTAGCAAGGTCTCATAACTGGCTAATTTATCTGTTTCAGCTCAGAAGAAGGAATGGCTGTCTGTGAATAAGAGCCTGAATTAAGCGGTGTCCAAAGCTAACCTATTTCATTCAGTTAATTAAAAGCTTCACGTACTTTAAAGAACAATAGCCGCCTTTCACCAGTTGTTTGCTTTTTAGTTCCTCTCTTTGGCATCAGCAAAATGCATTTCACAGTAAACTGTCAGCTTTCAAATCGATCTCAGAAATGGAAAGAGACATCGGGGCTTTTATGTCAAGCACAGCTCTGCCTTTCTCATCGTGACTGGCACACACAACTGGTGCAAGTTACACTAGCATCTCAACACGACACGAGGCCAACGCAAGTAAACTAGTTATGTTATAAGAGAAGGCCAGAAATAACCCACATCTCCTACCAACGCAAAGAATAACTGAAAACAGAAAAGGTCAATGAAATGAGTCAAAACAATGAATGACAGCGGAGCGAATTTTACAAATCCCCATTACATCATCCAGGGAAAACAAACTGCGCTCAGCCAGAAACCACATGGGCCAGCTTGCGATGATCCCTCCTTTTCATATTTTTATTGGTTTATGATCTACTGGCGTGAACATACTAGGGTCGGTATTTGCAAATGCAAATTGCATACCTGGAGCTTTAGAAAATAATAGCACAAATTGCCTCGCCACTGCAGAAACTTCTGATAAGCCTTTTCCCAGACAAAGGATGAAATAATGCACGTACATTTGAACTCCACAGACAGACAGAAAGCATTAAAAAAGCCTCATTCTCCCGTTGAAGATTTTCTGGAAAAGCCATGCGGAGCAAGTTTGCACATTCCTCTGTCTAAATGGACTGTATAGCCACTTAATTTTTATTCACTTTGAAACAGAGATGTTTTCTTTGGATACATTATCATTGTAGCTCTTTTCACACAGCACGAAATCTATGGCTGGTTTACTTGGCTAGAACACTCTGTCAAATACCTGAAACACTAAGTGCCTGTGTGCAGTGTATATAATGGCATGGAAATATTTATTATATTTTGTTCAGATGAAATGACTTCACCACGTGTCATTTCTGTCTCTAGGACGCTGAACATAAGCCGGAGATACATGCTTCAGATGCAAATTTAAATTTCTCTCCATACCTGGCACATTCTTTACAAGCTGCTGACTGCAGCTGTGTGATCTCCGGACAACAAGTTATACTTACTTTGTACAGTGAGCGAATAGCTCTTTGCAGGGGCTGATTTCGAGTTTTTCCTCTGTCTGTTGGATAAGATCTGGACTGACATCTG